TTCATTTGTTCATTTATTCAACAAATATTTATTGAGCACCTACTATGTGTCAGGTACTGTATCAGTTGCTGGGGATATAATTAATGAATAAAATAATAAAAGATTCCTATCTTCTAGAGCTTAATTCTAGTGGGTAAAAATACAGATAAATAAGTAAAATGTGGTATATTAGACAGTAATGATTTCTATACAGGAAAGTAAAGCAGGGAAGGGCGTTGGGGACTTACAGGGTGGGGAAGTGTTTCAGTTTTAAATACCACATCAGGGAAGGCCCCACTGAGAGGATGACATTTGAGTAAAGACTTGAAAGAGGTGAGGAGGTGAGCCATGAAGTTATCTGGGGGAAAAGCTTTCCAGGCAAAGCAGACAGGATGATTAAATGCCCCAGGAGTGCACCTGGTGTGTCTGAGAAATAGCAAGAGGCCTGGTAGCTAGAGTGCGGTGAAGGGGAGAGAATAGGAATGAAGGCATGCCGGTTTCAGGGCCAGATCGGGTAGGGCTTCATAGGTTGTTCTAAGAAATTTGGCTTTTTCTCTGAATGAGATGGGAAGCCCATGGAAGGTTTGGAGCAGAGGAGGGATATGACCCCCATTTAGTTTTTAAAAATATAATTAAAAAAATTGAAAGCAGCTTTATTGAGATAAAAGTGACATATAGTAAACACTTTACAGTTAAAGTGTGCAATTTGATACCTAGAAAGTTTTAAATTATGATAAAATATACATAACATAAAATTTACTGTTTTAACCATTTTTAAGTGTGTGGTTTATTAGTGTGAAGACCATTCACATCGTTGCGTGACCAATATCATCTTGTAAAAATAAAACTTCATCCCCACTAAACAACTCCTCACTTTCCTCTCCCCCAGGCTCTGGCAACCACAGTTTTACGTCCTGACTATGAATTTGACTACTTTAGGTATCTCATATAGGTGGAATCATACAGCTTTTGTCTTTTTGTGACTGGCTTATTTAACCTAGCATAATGCCTCAGGGTTCATTCATGCTGTAGTATATGTCAGAATTTTCATCCCGTTTAGATGAATAATATTCCATTGTGCACACTACATTTTGTGAATCCTTTTATCTGTCAGTGAACATTTGGGTTGCTTTTATGGTTTAGCTATTATGAATAATGCTACTATGAACATGGGTGTACAAATATCTCTTGGAGACCCTACTTTTAATCTTTGGAGTATATACCCAGAAGTGAAATTGCTGGATCATATGGTAATTCTATTTTAAACTGTTTTTAAGGAAGCACCATATTGTTTCCCATTGTGGCTGTACCATTTTACAATCCCATCAACAGTGCACAAGGGTTCCAGTTTCTCCACATCCTTGCCAACACTTGCTATTTTCTGCTTTTGTTTTGTTTTGTTTTGTTTTTTGATAGCAGCTTGTTATAATGGGTGTGAGGTGATATCTCATTGTGGTTTTGATTTGTATTTAGTGATTAGTGATGTTGAGCATCTTTTCATGTGTTTGTTGGCTATTTGTAGACCTTCTTTAGAAAAATGTCTGTTCAAGTCCTTTGCCCATTTTTAATCTTTTTTTTTTTTTTGAGATGAGTTGTAGGAGTTCTTTATATATTCTGGATAGTAACCCCTTATCAAATATATGATTAACAGATATCTCCTTTGATTCTGTAGGTTGCCTTTTCAAACTTTGATTGTATCCTTTGATGCACAGATTTTCTTTTTTTACTTTTGATGTTATCTCATTTACATATTTTTACTTTTGTTGCCTGTGGCAATTTGATAAAGTTTGATGTATTTATGTGTTTGTCTGTCTCCCTATATATTTGTCCATCGATGAAGCCATCACCACAGTCAAGATAGGAAACACATCCAGCACTCCCCAAAATTTCTTTATGCCTCTTCGTCATCTCTTCTTTCTGCTCCTCGCTTCCCTGTTCCCTGTCACTTGTCCCTGTGTAGCCACTGATCTACTTTCTGTCATTATAGATTATTTTTTTTCTAATATTTTATATAAATGGAATCATATAGTATGTATTCTTCTTATGTCTGATCTCTTTCCCACAGCATAATTATTTTGAGATTCATCTATGTTGTAGCAATAGTTCATTCTTTTTTATTGCTGGGTAGTATTCCATTGTGTGGGTATACCACAATGTGCTTATCCAATTTTCTAGATGTTTACATTGTTTCTAGTTTTTGGCTATTAAGAATGAAGCTTTTATGAACATTCCTGTACAAGTCTTCATATAGACATATGCTGTCCATTCTCTGGGATAAATATCTAGGAGTGTAATGGTAATACCATATGATAGGTATAGGTTTAACGTTTTAAGAAATTGCCAAACATTTTCCCAATGTGGTTGTACCATTTAACATTTGTACTAACAGTCTGAGAGATCCAGTTATTCAACATCCTTGCCAACATAAGGTATGATCAGTTATTTTAATTTTAGTATTTGTATTAGCTGGATAATAGTATCTTATTGTGGTTTTAATTTGCATTTCTCTAATGACTATTCATGTTGAGCATCTTTTCGTGTTCTTATTTTCCATCCACATATTGTTTTGGTGAAGTGTCTGTTGAAACCATTTGCTCAGTTTTTAAGTTGAGTTGTTTATTTTCTTATTTTTGAATTTTAAGAGAGTTCTTTATATATTCTGTTGTTGTCGTTGTTATTATTATTATTACAATGTCTTCTGATGGGTAGATTTTTAATTTTGGTGAAATCCAATTTATTAGTTCTTTCATGGACTTACTCTTTTACAGTTTCATCTCACTTTGGTTTTCGGGGGATCTCGCTGGCTGCTGTGCTAACAACAGAATGAATGGTAGGCAAAGGCGGATGTATGGAGACCAGTTAAAAGGCTATATAATGAGAAGACAGGTAAGAAATGATGATGGTTTGGACTGGGGTGATGATAGTGGAGGTGATGAGGGGAGGAGGAATGTGGGTGTATCTTGAAGATAGAGCTCATGGGATTTTCTGGTGGATCGAATGTGAGATGTGAGGGAGTCCAGCTGAGCTTTTGGAAGCGTGGTGTTGCTGTCGTTTGAGCTGGGAGGGCTATCAACAGTGAAAGCAGGTAAAGGCAAAAACCTGGAGCTTGGTGTTTGATACATAAATTTGAGAGGCCTGTTTGACATCCCAAGTAGGGTAGTATTTGGACACATGAGTCTGAGTTCAGTGGGATTCAGCCTCTGGACATGCTAGGTTCTGTGTCATCTCCTGATAATTCTCTCCCGAATTTGTATCTGTTGCTGAACTTGTCATTTCTTTTATTGCAGCTCATAGGCTAATCGCATAAGTTGTGACTCCTGTAGGCAGGCAGTTGTTCATGATTCAAGTCTGTGACAATCCAGGAGCTGAGAGTGAAGTAACTTCCCATCCATGCCCCTGCAGTGGATAGAGATTTTCAGGCCTGGCTGAATTTTGAGAGGAAAAGTAGAGAGATGCCTGTAGTTCTTTCCCTCATTACTCTGAAGCCTGTCTCTCGTAGTTGGAATTGTTCCCTATTTGAAGATTTAAAGCCTGGGGCTAAGTCTTTCCTGCCCATTGATGGTGGATTCTGGTCAGGTGACTGAAGGGAGCCGGAACCACACTCTCCTTGGTTCTGTAGATGTCCATGCTCACCGCAGAGCAGCTCCCCTGGGATATTGCTGTTCATCAGGAGAAAACTTGGATCCATTTCCCAACTATCTGGAGATTTGCTTGATATGCTTCTGAGCCTCAGTTTTGAGAAGAGAAAGAATTCATCTTTAATGAAGACTAAATCACTAGCACTCGTATATTATTATTGAGGCCAATAAATGCTTCCTTGGTCCCTTGGGCAAGTGAAACAGCGCCATCCGCTGGCTGGTTCGACACGCCACCCAGCATCTCCAGGGGGCGTATGTGCTGAGTTTATAATTTCAAGTGTCATAGATGCAGTGATCCCAAGTTTATTAATAAGCTCCCCAAAGGATGCTAATTCATTTTAAGAGATTTTATTTTGTATATTCTAATTTTGTTTCCCTCCAGATTTCTATGTGTACTAGAAACAAAACAATTCTAAAAAGAAGTGATTCATATTCTTGCCTTGTTCACACAGCAGCCATTTTCATTATTCCTTTCTCTTTCTTGTCCTTGTCTACTTGCAGACATGTTTACATTGCTGTAATCCATATTATGGATGAGGAAACTGTGGCTCAGAACGGATATTTGTAACCACCCCTTTAACATCGCGAGAGCATGGGATTTTGCAGCAGGTGTTCAAGAGCCACTGATTATGTGATTTTGTGCGAATCACTAAATTTTCTGAATCTTAGTAATTCCTACCTATCTTTTGGGAATGTTGAGGACTAAAAGAAATGAAGTATATGAGGATGCTCGATAAACTATAATTTTAATTATAATTATAAATAATAATTTATAACCCTTCCTTAATAATTTCTCTGTTATTGGATTTAGATTGTCTTTTATATATTTAGTTAAGTTGTTAGAATGACAGTGCAATGAACCTGTCGTGTAGTTTTATTTTTTATTATTTATAAATTCATTAGAACAAAGGGTTATTGTGGAATTTTAAGATGGTTTCTGCTATATATTGCCAAGAGATGATACCTGTTTATAGTATATGAGTGGACTAGTTTTATCAGTGTTGTGATACTGGATAATTTCTAAAATTCCTCTAATATAATGGGTGCAAGATGCTCCTACATTATTGAGTGAGCATTTCTTTTACTACAAGCAGAGTTGAACATTTTCCCACGTGCTTTTTTACTAATAGTATCCCTGTTTTCATGAATTATCTTCTTAAGTTCTTTGCCAGTTTAGGAATTAGGGACTTAATTTTTTTTTTGATATCAACTTATATAAACTCTTTACATAACATAGAAATGAACCCTTTTTACATTTGCTGTGAATGCTTCCTCTAGATGACATCTTCCCTTTAATACTGGTTTTGTCAAATGGTTATTTACTTCTATAATGCACAAACTGTCCATTCTTTGCAATTTCTTTCAACTTCTAAAATTATCCTTGTGCTCACTTCAGTAGCACATATATTAAAATTGGAACGATATAGAGAAAATTAGCCTGGCCCCTCTGTAAGGATGATACATACATTTGTAAAGTGTTCCATATTTTTTATGGTATAAGAATTCTATCTCAGTAAAGCTGTTACTGAAAAAAAAA